ATTTTCTGGGGAATCGATGGTTGATTGTGTCTGTGTGTTGTTTCCCCTCCTGACCACAGGCCTTGCATGGCCCATTGGTCGCCGCCCCAGCCGCCCTGGCCCTGCATGCCCCACTGGGGGCAGCCGCCGCAGCCGCCGCAGCCACCTCGGGACGGGTAGGGGGCAGGAGGAGGAGGAGGAGGAGGAGGAGGAGGAGGAGGAGGAGGGAGGAGGAGGAGGAGGAGAAAGAAGGAGGAGGAGGAGGAGGAGGAGTAGAGGCGGCCCGCGGCTCTGGCCTGCCAGGGCTGCTCGGCTCTCTTGCCCACCGAGCCGGGGGGGGGGGGGGGACAGAGGGAGAGAGCTGTGCGCCGCCACCCCCGGGGGGCGCAGGCGCGCTCGCGAGATGTGCGAAAAATCGCGATCCTGACGGCGGCACGTCGGGCCACCTGGCCGCCTCTGCAGGGCGTGGGCCCACAAAAGACTGACGTCTCGCTTCTTTACTTCCGCCGGGAGTTGTGGTTGATTGGCCCCTCGCGCGGCCCGCCTGGACTTTGACTCGCCGCTGTTGCGCTCTCGCCTGCGGCTGCCGACAAACAAAAAAAAAAAACTTCCGCCGCCTTCCGCCGACCTTCCGCCCACCCTCCGCCAGCCTCCAGTCGAACTCCGCCGAGGGCGCGACGCGCCGAAGGCGAGGCCCCTTCTGAAACGCGCACAGTGGTTCGCGGTGCGATTGGATACGCGTAGTGCCAAAGGCATGCCGCATCGACAACCCTTCGAGTGGTAAGGAGATTGGCTTTGTGAGAGCAGCTTTCGGTGGGCGATGGTTCCGCGTCGGATGGTCCAACCTATCAGTCTGACAACCTGGCCATCTAACAAACGGTCTGCCAAAATAGATGGTGCGCCTTCCAACCGCCTTCTCACAATGTAACGAGGCATCTGCTTACGACATCGCCACGGGACGACCCACGGGACAACCAGCAGAACAATCCGCGGGACAACCACGGGACAACACACGGGACAACCTCGCGACAACCACGAGAGAACCACGGTCCAACCCCGTGTGGCACCGCGAGACGGGCGGGATGGAAACATCCTGTCCCACTTGGCACTAGCTACAGCCGGCGCATCATCGCCCTCGCACAGCCTCACCTCGCCCGCACGCAAGGCACGACACGAAAGGGAACCGACGCTGGCATCCCGGTTTGGGTCACTCCATACGCTGCTGGACGAAAACACGGTTACAACATGTTCGTCACAATCCTGGCTTCAGCAACGCTGGCATCGTAGAATGCAACTTGGACACGTTGCGTCTAACACCATTCTAGCAGTACAGACAAAACCCTCGTGTAATGGCGCACGGCGGCGCAAAACACGATCCGGACGCAATGAGGGACGGTCAAACACCAAGAAAACATACGCAACCACACTTGGCTTCTAGAACTCTGAAGGACACCCTCACGCGATGTATCCTCAAATCACTGCTCTTACCCGCACTTGGACTCGTACATCACAACCTGGCCGATCAGGCCGCGACACCAAGGAAGTAATAGAAAGCATTATCGTATAAGATGTGTCTCGACACAGGAATATGTAGGACCTTCGCCTCCCCCCCAAAAAAAGTTCAGAACCACTTCCCCCGTCATCGAATGCCTTTCGAACAGCGCCTCCCCAGAGCCATGTGCGGGAGTGTCGCGTCTTGGATTGTATGCCTGGTCTGATGCTGGCCCCGTGAGCGATGAATGTTTCAGCAAAAGATTTCGGGGAACGCTTCCAGGACCATCGTCGGCCCACTATTCTGAAGCAGTCTCCTGTGGAACTCCTCTTCGAGGACTCATCCTGAAGGCTCCGGCGGGGGAGGTCGATTTTGAACGATCCTCGGGATCGCCCTCTGGCCCCCGACCGTTCCGCAGCTCTCTTCTCGCTGCGGATCTGCCTACATTAAAGAATCCAACATCTGGCGGCCTCTGCAGAAACTCGAACACGGCCTGCAAAAGCAACGACAACAACACCACCACCACCAACACCAACAACCGCAACTACAATCAGTTTAAGACGGGTTGCTCTTATCTGCTCGCGGGCCATTCAACACGTATACCCCGAACCCTCGGTACCCGTCCCCTTCGTCTTCGATCGTGCCCCTTGGGGGTATATCCCTCTTACCTGCAACGTGTATTTCGCGCAGCCCTTAAGGCAGGGGAAGAGAGGACGGATGGAAGGAAAGGACAAGGGGGAGGAAGGAGGATGGGGTACGAGAGAGAGAGAGAGGAGAGAGGAAAAACACAACAACAAAAAACAGGAGCGGGGCTGAAAGCAGAAAACACGTGGCAGAACCAGACGGGCAGATCGGGCGGGTGGACACTAACAAGCGGATCGGAAGGAAGGCCCAGGCGGCCAGGTCAAGCAGGCGGGCCGCTGAAGCGTGCGTCCTGCATGATTCGCAAGGAAATCTCGAGTGACAGCGCGATTCCCGAATACATCGCGAGGAAATCCACAGCAAGGCCGTGATTCCTGAATGTCGAGGGCGCGGCGTTTGAATAAATTGCGAAGGGGTCCCACGCGAGAGCGCGATTTCTGCATAAATTGTGAGGAAGTCCCTCGCGAGAGCGAAACTGTTGAAATACATTGCGAGGCTGCATCAAGCGGGAACCGCTGTTGTTGTAAACCTGGGGCCAGGGGCGCATGTTGGTGACACATCGTTTCCCCTTGTAAAAAAAAAAACTGGGTGCTAGCCCCAGGAGAAGCAACAGCAACAACAATCATTCAAAACTGAGAGCTTTAACATCATCAACAACAACAAGCAGGTTAAGACTGTTCGCTCTGACCTGCTCGCGTGCCACTCAGCACTTATATCCCAAACCATCGATATCTGCCCTTTTCGTTTCCGAACGAAACCCACTGGGGGCATATCTTCCTTACCTACCGCGCGTAATGTGCGTAGCCCCCGAAGGCAGGAGAAAAGAGAACGGATGGAAGGTGTAAGACAAGGATGGGGCACGAGAGTAGCAGGAGGAAGGCTAGAAGCAGAAAGGAAAAGGAAGAACCAAACGGGCCGGTCGGGCGGGTAGACCCCAACGCCCGGGTCGGAAAGGCGGGTCCAAACGACCAGGTCGAGCAGGTGGGTTGCTGAAGTGTGAATACTGCGTGAATCGCGAGGACGTATCGAGCGATAGCGCGGCTCCCAAATATATGTTGTAGAGAAAATTAAATCGCGAGTTTGATTCTTCAGAATCGAGGGCGCGGCGTTTCAATGAATTGCAGGGATGTCCCACGCGAAAGCGCGATTCCTGCATGAATGTTGGCAAAATCCCGCGCGAGAGCGCGATTCTCAAATCAATACTGAGGAAATATCAAGCGGGAACCGCTGCTGATGTTGAGCTCTCACTACTCGTGAATAATTATTGTTGGTCCCCCTCTCCGGAGGCCATCGAAGTGCTTCCCCTGGGGCTCGCACCCTGGTCTTTATCAGGGAAAGTCACTACACTCAAACTAAGTGTGTTGGCCCCCGGATTACGACAACAACAATCACTTTAAGACTGTTCGCTCTTATCTGCTCGAGTGTCCAATAACGCATATTTCCGAAACCCTCGATACCCGCCCTCTCCGTCTTCGATCGAACCCCTTTTGGGGGGTATACCTTTCTTCCCTGCAGGCCGGGCCCCGGCAAGCGGCGGGGCGGCCGCGGACCGTCGGCCTGGCCAGCGGCAGCGCTGATCGGCGGGGCGGCCGCGGACCGTCGACCCGACCCCCAGAGGGACGAACAGGGGACCGACCACGACGAGGACGACGACGACGACGTCGACGACGACGGCGACGACGACGACGACGGCGACAACGATGACGAGCGAAAGCGAGAGCGAGAGAGAACGACAGCAGGGCCACGAAGGACACGAAGTAGGCCACGAAGGGCGACAGCGGGGACACGAAGAGAATGCGTATGGGGTCACGAAGAGCGCGAACGAGCGGGGGCCACGAAAGGCAGATAATGCGGGACCACAGAAGGCAACGATGGGGCCACTGAAGGGAGCAACTGGGCCTCGTAGGACAGTGAGGGGGCCACACACGGCGACAGCGGGGCCACGAAGGGCATGCACATGGGGCCAAAACCGGCGCGAACGAGCGGGGGCCACGAAGGGCATACGTACATTGGGCCGCGGAGGGCAAGAACAGGGCCACTGAGGGCAGCAACGGGGCCACGAAGGGCAGCGAAGGGCCACGAAGGGCGACAGCGGGGCCACGAAGGGCATGCATATGGGGCAACCACGGGCGCGAACGAGCGGGGGCCACGAAGGGCATACATATATGGGGCCACGAAGGGCAGCGAGGGGGCCACGAAGGGCTGCAACGGGGCCACGTAGGGCAGCGAGGGGGCCACGAAGGGCTGCATCGGGGCCACGAAGGGCAGCAAGGGGGCCACGAAGGGCTGCAACGGGGCCACGAAACAAAGCGAGGGGGCCACGAAGGGCTGCAAAGGGGCTTCAATGTCCCGGCCGACCCGCCAGTAAGGCCCGCTTGCCCGACACACCCGTTCGAGCAGGCCCGCCCGTCAAGACACGCTTGCAATAAGAATGATGTCTTTCTCCTCGCCCTCCAGCAAAATCTTCTTCGCCCTCAGTCATCCTCCTCTCTTCTTGCCCCTCTTTTGGGCGGCCCCACTTCTCCGACTCTGTGCGGTTTTCGACTGGACCGACAATTTGGGACCCAACTCGGGGGGTGTGGGGGGAGGGGCGGGGGCGTCCATCCTCAATAATTCGGGGTGCGTCCGCCAAAACCTTGGGAAGGAATCCCCCGAGTTCTCCCCGTCTTTTGGAAAACGGCCTTTGACCTTTCGGGGGGGATCCCGGAATCGGAAGCAAAAGATCGCATGCGATTCGTCTTAGCTGCCCCGATACGCAACACGCAACACGTAGCGTATGGATACGGAGCTCAACATGTAGACTGAAACGTGTGTCTGAAGCGAGACGTTCGCCAAAACGTGGGCCAATACGTGGAGCCAACACGCAACGTATCGACACGGACGTCCTGAACACGGGACGTGTTGCGTATCAAAACGGGCGTATCGAGGCAGCTTAGCAAGCATGTGATAGTTTTCACCGTGGCCACCCTGCACCATCTGGCCGGCAGGATTCCAGGCCACAACGGCGCCGTCTCCAGCGCCACCGGAGCCAGGCTGCTGCCAGCCCTTGCCCTCGCGGGAGGGGGGCTCGCCGCTCGATGCGATCAACTCATACAAATATGACCTCCCCGACCGCGTGGTGGTCGACCGCACATCTTCAATCGACCTTCCAATACCTTCCCGTCCTCCTCCTAATCCCACTCCTCCTCCTCCTCCACCCCTTTCCCTCCTCCTTATTGTCATGATTATTTGTATTACTATTAGTAGTAGTATTAGTATTGCTATTACTCTTATTGTTATTCTTCTTAGTATAATTATTCTTGTTACTATTATTAGTAGTAGTATTGTTGGTATTAGTACTCTTAATATGATGATGATTATTGTTATTATGTTTAACAATTACCTCCTCCTCCTCCTCCTCCTCCTCCTCCTCCTCCTCCTCCTCCTCTTCCTCGCCTTCCGAACTGTCATCGTCGTCACCACGGTGTTCCCTTTTGGTTTGCCGCGTCCACGCCGAAAGAACTAGATTGTGAGCGCGCGTGGGTATCGAGAGGAGACAAAAGGAGAGCGAGAGGGGGGTGGAGAGGGCAATGTGCTCCCTCTCTCCTCATGGTATTTGCAGACTTGAGCCAGCATGCGACACCAGAAATGAGCGCGTCTGTCCTGCGGGCGACCCCCGCGGAGCACGGATATTCACACTCAGGAGGCTTTCTGCACACTGTGTGGTACAAGATCCACTCTCTGTGGCACAAGGAACAACCGACTTAGCGGTTCACTCCTTCTGCGCGGGGGGTCCCCCTCACCCCCGTCTTCCTTTCCCCGAAAAAAGCCCGGGACTGGGGCACCCGGCGGACATGGGCCCCGGCGGCCACGTCGGAGATCTCGAATCCTGCTGGCCGGCGCTCCTCCTCCCCCCTCCTTCGGGCCTCTCGCCCGTGCCAGGCGCATCGGATGCAAGATTAAGCCCGAGCGGTCTGACGGGGAGGCCGGGCGAATCCGCTTCCCTCCTTGGGATCCTCAGTTTCTCGCCCTTCTCCTTAGCCGCGGGCGACTCCTGACCTTCGTCCTGCAGGACTAGGACCATGTGGGGCGCTGCGCGGCTTCGGGAGCTCAGGGCCAGATTGGCAAATATTTTGTCGAGGGAGCCTGACTCGTCGATGGGCGCCAGAATCCCATCCCTCATAAAGTTTGCTGAAGCGCGGCCCCCTCGAAGAGGGTCGACCTCCGCGAGGCTGTCCGCGGGCGTACTATGGCGAGGCACCCACCAGATATGACCGCCCCCTCGGCCCCTATGCTATCGCGCAGGATTGCCACATCCATGCAGCGGCGGGCCCTGGACTCTCGACGCCTCCAGGACGGCCTAGCGTGACTCGCGCACTGCTCGCATCGGAACTAACACTTCACACGTTCGAGTACGTCGTCTCGGGCATGGGCTAGCCTGGGCAGCCTCAGACACTCGAGCTTTGCGTGATGTCCTATAAATTCACGTAAGTCTCGAGAACTTCGGCCTGAAGGGAATGAATTGCTCAATGTGGTCCGGGGCCGCCTGGACACGCCCCCCCCTCTGGTTCTTCTCCGGATTTGGACCCCTTACCCCCTGGATTGGCATTGACGCAGTTGCCCCGCGCAGGAATTTCTCCGACGACGCCTCCAGGGGCCCCCATCGCAACCCCCGCGGCGGCCCAGGGCCGCCATCCGAGCTAATTCGAGGATCCGGGGGGATGCACCTGGACAGGATGAGCCATGGCCCGTGCCGCTCAGCATCCGGCGACGACGCCGGCCGTCGCGCACCTGCGCAGCAGAGGTCGAAGCAACGAAGTGCGACTCGCGAGAGATCGGGCGGGTTTCTCGCTGGGCCCCCCCTCCCTCCCCCCCCCGCACCGGCAGAGGTGGGCGACCCCAGAGATGGCCCCCGAGTGCCCAGTCACTTCCCCGACGCAGGCCAGCCCCCAGGACCTGGCCCCACCTGGGTGCCCTCGGAGAAACCATCGCTCCTTCGACACTTGGAACTCGGCGACCCTCGCGCAGACCGCCGCGCTGCGGAGGCCTGCCTCCTTGGAGCCCTTTGGATTCGAACAGCGCCTCCGTTGCCAGCCTGGCCGCCAGGCAACCGAGAGAGGAAGACGCAGGGGGGGTGCAACCGCTATCTCATGCCGACGCGCTCGCCGATCGACTAGATCGCATTCTTGCCCGGATCAGTCGACAGATCGCACCCCGTGCTCAGATCGATGCACATAGACACGGGGCATTCCCGACCCTCGGGCACGCGGCCGCCCGGGGGGGGGAGGGGCGGCGCCCCGCGGCTCGCTGCCAGCCGGCCCCCGAGAGCCAGTCCTGGATCAGTCGCCCCCTGGATCGCCGAACCGTTCTCAAGGCACCGCCCGCCCCCTGTCTCGACGACGGAACCCCGAACCTCCCGTGGGACATGGCTGGACAGCCTCTCAGGGAGCGGAGCATCCCGTCTTTGTTCTGTATCCACGGCAAACAAGCCGCTGACTGGAGTCGAGGGCGCCTCTCTGGAGGCATCGGGTGGAGGGGCGCGGGCCGAACTCCCAGTCGATCCTGGCGGAGACGCCCGCGACTCCACAGCCACGTAGGTGCGGGAGTCGTTCAGGATGGCCCGGCGCACCTGCCGAGCGTTGAAGACAATGGCTGGAGCATCTCACGGGGCCCCCGAAGCCCCTCGACATCGAATGCGAAAGACTTCCCGTGACCCATCTCCCAGGCCCGAGACCGACCGAGCGACGGGTTAGCACGCAGGCGCTCCTTCTCCGCGGGGGGAAGGGCCAGGCGCAACCACCCCCTGCCCCTCGCCACTTCACCTGGCGAGACGCGAGGGCGAACAAGGCTGCCCCGCCATGCGGGCTCAGCGAGAAGCGCGCCGTCACGGTGAGCTTCGACGACGCTGACGATGGGCATGGGCCACTGCGGCCGACCTCCAGACTCGGTTCGCCCCCCCCTCCCCCCCGCGGCGATTGGAGCGCGCGTGCTTTCGGAGCCCTGGGGCCCCTCGAGCCCCTCCCCCTCGCCTTTTAAGGCGAGGGCCTCTCCGGCCCTGGCTCGGACGTCCTGGGTCGCCAGCTGCTCGATGGCCCCGGCCACCTGGGCGACCGCCTCGCCGCTGCCCTGCAGCACTTCGGTCCGGCGGCCCAGGTCGGTCGCTGTCGCGCCCCCCGAACTGGGCGACGCCGCGGATCCCCGGGCGCTCGCGGGACCGGTCCTTCTCGCTGGGGCCCCGCTCGTCGCGGGCCGAACGGCTCTTAATTCTGCCATCGCCGCAGCGCCCCCCCTCGATCCGCCCTCCTTGCCTTTGCTGCCCCTGGCCGCCGCTGAGCCCTCAGATCCTGGCGCCGCAATTTGCACGGCCGGCGCTTTCGCCCCTCCTCGGGCCCGATCCTCGCACGAGGCCCAGGGCTCTAGTCGCGATGTTCTGCAGCGATGCGCCCTTTCGCAAAGTCGGGTCTCGGGGGCGAGGGGGGGCCCGCTCCGTCGCTGCATGGAGACGCGCCCAGACGGGCGCCCCGCCTCGCGTGCTGGTTCTCCCGCTCCACGCAGGCGCGAGGCGGACGGGCGCGCCCCAGCCCAATCTGCCGCGCGGTCACGTCCTGACGGACCTCGTCGAGCATCGCCGCTGACTCCCGCGCAACGGACGAAAGCTCGATGGCCATGCGCCCCCAGCCCTGCGCCGAAATATTCGTCGCCCACCGGCTCACTGGCCTGGCCTCTCCCTCGCTCGACGAGATTCCCCCCCAAAATGCGCCCATCCGATCCGCCGGGGCGTTCCTGGAGCACGCTGGCTGGGGGGCTGTCCTTCACGAGACCAGCAAGCCGAGCCCCGCGGCGCATTCGAGGAGGCCCGGGCTCAATCAACAAGATCTGGAGATGCGGAGAGGGGGCTTCGGGATCTGGTTCGAGCCCAGAGACCCCGCTGATATCGAGCTCGCCTGAACCAGTCTGGGCGTCGCCTCTTGCTTCTGCTCGGGGGGGTAATTTTCCTGGCCTGTCATCGCCCTCCTTCCCCTGCTCTTCCCGCTGCCCATTTCTTCCCCCCCGGGCCCCCCCTCCTCGTCGCATTGCGTTTCTCGCCTCGTCTCCTCCAACTCCTCCCGCCCAGGCCCCCGCGACGCTCTGGCTTTTCGGCTCAGGCCCCTGAAAACGCACGGAAGGTGACAATTTAACGTGCGGAGCCTCGTGAATAAGCGGCATTGACTTCTCAATTGGGATGTACACATCTGCAGGGGAGAAACAAGGACACGACGATCAACAAGAACAAGATTCCAACCCAGCATCGCGCTGGAAAAGGACCAGTCAATGCAGGCCGAAACAATTGGAAGGGCACCTCTTGCTCGGTGACGCCGCACAGCAGCCAGAGCCCGACCCCGCCTGGCAGTCTCTCCGGGGCTGCCTAAGGTTTGCCCAGAAGCCCAATCAACGAACCAATGAGGCGTTCGTCTCATCCTGGGTGCGTGAATGTGCAGATCACCCCTTGCCATCTTTCCATTCCTGCCGCGCTGCAGCACGGACCTTTTTGTGTATTGCCACACGCCGTTGCGCTGCATCAAGCGGGGTAGCTTCCAGATACTGTAGACGCACCAGCCAATAAGGACTGATGCAAAATATCGTGTGGCAAATCCTTCGTCGATCGTTGGGGACCCGAGGGTGTCCCAGAGATAATGTGGGCCCAGGGCCATCGGGAGATAAGAAACTTCCGATGAGCACCTGCTGGCAGGCCAACTTCTGATTTGACGCGCCTACTGTCCAATGAATGACACACTGGCAATTCACCCTCGCATGACGCGGAAAGCCCAGAGCTCTAGAGACGCGCCTGGCGCAGCTGCCGCAAGCTTACCCTAAGGCAGCGCAGACGAGCAAGCACACACTTTGTCCTCCGACGCGCTGACGGAATACTTACAGTTAGCGTCAATGAGATCAAACCGGGCCGCGGACAAGACATGTTCTTCTATACCATGCCTCAGCCTGCACAGTACAACAACTCGCACTCTCACTAGAACGTGCTTCCCCCACGCGACGACGCGAAACAGGCCTGATGCCGCTGTGGAGCAACGAACTTAGAAGATTGTGTCTGGCCGTGGCGAGAGAAGTATCCCAGGAGCCCAAAAAGCACCCAACATGCGTTCAAATCCTCGATCTTCGACACTCCCCTTGACGTGCTCGAAATGGACACGGACAAACATGATCATTAACGATTCCCAACAGCACACATGTTACGTACCGATAGCGGCCGCCGTTGTGCAGGCGATGCTTGGTCTCAAATGAACAACGCCCGCGGCGACACGGACAGCGAGTCCTGTTCAAAATGTGCACTTCTTCTCCGATGCCCCAGGCGGCGGCTGTGGATGAGTCTCGGAGCAGAGCGGGCTGAGACCACGGCGCCCCGAGATCGGTCCCAAAACTCCTCCCGTGACTTGAAGCGCACCTGTCTCCGAGCTGCGCCCGGTCGTGGCGGCGAGGCCCCCCGAAAAGGCCACCTGCCCTGGTCTCTCAAACTGCCCCCCCTGCAGCCCCGCACGCCGACTCTATTGCACCACCCCCTCTCGCTGGCCCCCTCTCGGGTCCACCAGAACGGCTGCCGCTGCGCGCCTCCACGCTTCCAGAAGGAGGAGGAGGAGGAGGAAGAGGAGGGGGAGGGGGAGGAGGGGGGAGGGGGGGGAAGAGGAGGAGGAGGAGGAGGAGGACGGTCTTGTTGTTCGAGCGCCGAGCCGCCGCCGCCGCCGCCGCCGTCCGGTCCGGGCGCCGCCCGGCCTTGCCCTTGTCCTGCCGCGCCTCCCGCTGCGCGCCTCTGCCCCCGGCGTCTGCCGAGCTGGCGCTGGGCTCCGGCTCGGGCTCGGGCCTCTTGGTCCAGGGGCCGTCCTGGCCTCGGCGGCGGGGGCGGGGGGGACGCGCCTCCTCGCCATCGCTCGGACGTCCATTCCCTGTGCTTTTTCGGTTTCGTGCGTGTTTTTTTTTCGCCAAATGATCAAGGATGCTCCTCGATGGTCCTCGCCGGAGGAAAAATGCACACATCCGAGCGATGCCAAGGCCTCTCTTCGGAGGCAACTCCTGGGAGGTGCTCGTCGGAACAAGTGCCGGCGAGTGGGCCTGATCGAAGGACCATGAAAGTGCCAGACTGGGCCAGACTCGGCTCGGGACTGAGCCCGAGGGAGCGAGGCGAAGCCAGATCGAGTGGAAATCCGAGGGGTTAGGCTGTATTAGGCCAGATTGGCCAGTAGCCACTACGGATATACCAACGCCGATGCTGAATTCAACCTCCCATGCGTTGCATCCGAACCTCCACTGGCGAGGACCCAGACATCCACCGTCTTGGAAACATCAGGGTTGAATTTTGTTCCGCTGTTTGTAAGTCTCCAGGGGGGCATTCGCCATGCCCCGGGACCGTCAAGAAACAATTCAGCCTGAAAAACCCGCATATGATCTGGGGCACCGAATTCGAAAACATCCAGACTTCTAGGAGCCCCACCACAAGAAACGACGGCCAGTTCTTCACAGTTGTCGGCCCCTGGAGACCGTTGCCCGCTCCAAAGGTCGTCAATCAGTCATTCGACGCGGAGATTCCCATATGTGTGTAAAATTCCGAATTTCTGAAGGAGAGAATCTTGGCCTGTGACGACTGAGCGTTCCCTGGCAGCTCTCTCCCTGGAGCGCTCAAAGGCGACGTCTGCTACATACGATTGGGCTTGGGATTCCGAAGGAAAAGGAGTCGGTGGTGCCAGAACCAGCGCTTCGCTGGAGGCTTGGCTGGGGTGCCTCAATGCCACGCTTGCTACATCGCGCTGACCACGAAGATCTCGATGACAGGAGTGAGGGGTGCGAAACGAGCGCCTCGCTCGAGATCCCCGCAATCTGGGCGCCAACGGGGAAGTGTACCTCCTTGGGGTGCGCGAGCGGGCAACTGCTCCCCTCCTTGGCGACTCCGCCTCGGAGCGCCCAAGCGCCACGCCCTGCTACATCCCGGTGAGCATGGACGAGCCCGAGCAGAAGTGGCGAGTATGGGTGGGCCTGCGTGCGAGTGACAGGAGTGCGGGCAGGATATACCTGAACTGGACGTGAGTGCCCAAGATTGGTGTCTACGCCCTCCCGGTGTCGCTGGGAGGGCATGCTCACCGATCCTGGGCCCAGAATCGGCCTGGGCATGGCCGGCGTCGGTGCAGAGCTGGCGCCGCCCGAACGGGGAAGAGGGGAAGTGGGGGCCGAGAGGGGGCAGGAGGGAGGGAGGGAGAAGTCAGAGGGGCAAGAGGGATGAGAGGAGGGCAGGAGGAGGAGATGGAGGAGAAACAGGAGGAGGAGGAAATGGAGGAGGGAGAATAAGAGGAGGACAAGGAGGAGGAAGAACAGGAGGAGGAGGAGGAGGAGGAGGAGAAGGGAGGAGGGGGTAGCAAGATTTCAGGTTGGAGGGGGGGCAGAAAAATGTTGGACGTTTCAGGCTGTACTCGGGGTATCGCTGGAAAGACGCACGTCCGGACCCACATGCGGAACATGCGGAGGCCACGAGCTGGATGCACATTACGATGGCCGTCATGCCTGGCCACAAGAGGGCTGAACACTTCCAAAAGAAAACGGTAGGGTGTGTCTCCAGCACTCGCTCGGGCAGCACCGTATGGGCAGCTCTGGAAGCCATGAACCCAAAAATGCTGGCACCTCCAGGCGCATCTTTTTTGAACGCCCGAATTCTCTGGGGGAACTGCAGTCGGGGCTAACTTCACTGTGGGCCCCCGAGGCGAGAACCCGTAGCTACCCATGACTGCCCCCAACCCCGATGATTCGGGAGGGTTGGACGACCAAGTCATCAAGGATAACTGCAGTCTGGGTTAACTCTGGTTTGGGCCCCCGAAGCACGAATCTGCAGCTACCCCTAACCACCCCCAACCCTGATGACTCGGGGCTCTGACATGTACCTCCGCCCACGGATCTGCCCCCCAGACCCCCGACGTCGTGATTTTTTCACCACGTCGACTCCCCTGGAGGTCTGGACCCCTTCCCGGGCACCGGCTTCTCATCCTTCCGTCGTTATTTTTAACGGTCCAGGGGCCCGGCGAGGGCCCCCGGAGGCTGCAGATATCGACCAACCTCCCGTCGTGGTTTTTGTCGCAACGCGAGGGGGGTCTGGGCCCTGTTGGCTTCTGCCGACATCCTTTTTTCAACGCGACTCCCATAGCCTAGGAAGTTTAGCGGGGGCTCCAGCAACTACCGAGTAAACGACGCGGCGCGATCAAGGTCGATCGAAGCCCTGATAGCGAACGGCGGGCCCGGGGCGACAAGGCGGCAAGCCCCTCTGCCGACATCCGCCGCCTTCCGCCGATGAAGGGGTGTCAACCCCTGCGGCGCTCGAAGGCGAGGCTCTGTCTCTGGTGCGCCCCATCGTGTCTCCGGCCCTCGCCCAGGCCACGCCGTGTGCATCCAGCTTCCGCAGCAGGGCGTGGCCTGCCAGCGTGGCCAGACCCCCTCGCGCTGTGAAAAAACACACGACGATAATAGTTGCTTCGCTATTTTCGGTCTCCAGGGGCTCTTGCTGGGCCTCGGGACCGTCCAAAAACGATTCAGGATAAGAAAACGGTCCCAGGGAAGGGGTCCAAACCTCTGGGGGTCAACGTTGCGAAAAAACACACGACATCTTGGGTCTGCGTGGGTCATACCGCCGAGCCTGGCTCTCCTCTGCACACTCCTCCGCCTCCTCCTCCTCCTCCTCCTCCTCCTCGTCCTCCTCCTCCTCCTCCTCCTCCTCCTCCTCCTCCTCCTCCTCCTCCTCCTCCTCCTCCTCCTGCGTGGACCCGAGATCTGTTGACGAGCATCTCTGCTGATTGACTTGCAGCTCCACATCTGCGCGTTGGGCGAGGGCGACCCCGTGCCAAAGGCCACGCTCGAGGGCGGGTCAGAGCGACGGTAAGCTGCACCAGTCTCGAGTCAGCAACGCAGCAAGTCGTCATGGCTGGGCACTTTCTCCGGACGGCACGACGGGATGCAGTCAGTTAGTAGGAGGCAACTACTGGGAGGTGTTCGTCGGAAAGATGAAGGAGGATTAAGCCCCGTTTGGGAGCTGTTACGCCGGAGTGGGCCTCGGGTCAAGCGGTACTAAGCCGGATTAAGCGGGATCAAGCGGGATTAAGCGGGATCAAGCCGAATTAAGCCGGATTAAGCCGGATTCAGCCGGATTTGGGACCAGGGGAAAGTCAGAATTTGACCTCCCAGGAGGTTGCATCCGAACACGATGGGATGGAATCTGCTCTGTGGCCTAAAGCATGTCGCCAAAAACTTCAATATGCCTTCTGGCGGGACAAGGGGGTGAGGGAGAAGTGGGGGGGAAGCGGAAGTGGGAGGGGGGGACGGCTGTAGAGGGGGGAGGGGATGGAAGGGGAAGGGAGAGTGGGACGAGTAGGGGAAGGCAGAATCAGCCAGAATCGAATCAGCGAAAATCGAATCGCACCGGGACGTGCACTGGACTCGGCTGCGTCGGCACGGCGTCGGAGTCGAATCGGATCGGCTGCGCAGGGATATACAACAGCGCCGTGCGGGCAACGGGCCTCACCAGACCGCCAAAACATCGGAATCGAATCGGACATGGCCGGCCAGAACCGACATCGAAAGGACTCGATCGGATCGAGGTGCCCCCTGGCGAGGTGGAAGGGGCGGGAGGGAAAGAGGGAGCGAGGACGGGGAGAGAAATGTGAGCGGCGAGGGTGAAGCAAGAAACACTTGCATGAGCATACACACTGTTGGAGGTCCGCGCAAATGTCTTGGATCGGCGATGCGCCAGGCGCGCCGCCAGGGGGGTGTCCGGCGCAGTTCCACGACATCCGCGCGGACCACCGAGAGTTCATGACCATGCCGCTCCTCGCCATCGCTCGGACGTCCATTCCTCGTGTTTTTTGTCGACTTCGTGCGTGTGTTTTTTCGCCACATGATCAAGGCTGCTCCTCGATGGCCGTCGCCGAGAAAAAAATGCACACGTCCGAGCGATGCCGAGGCTCTTGCCTTCGGGAAGGTCGGAGGACGGGAAGGCAACCCCGCGCGGCAGCAGGCCCGCGCCTGGCACCGGCGCCAGGTGCTCCTGGGGGCGCCGCGCCCAAGGAGCGCCGCCGGGCACCGCCCGGGGGGGGCCACCCGCCCCGCCCCACCCTCGGATGGAGGAGGCGGGGCGGGCGGGCCCGGGCGGCACCCAGCCTGCACTATAGGGGAACAAGCAGTGGCATAAACATAGAAACGAAGGATTGCAAAAAAACGAAGGATTGCAAAAAAAACAAGGATTGCAAAAAAACGAAGGATTGCAAAAAAAACCTTCGTAGGATTGCAAAAAAAACCTTCGTTCAAGGGTTTTTTTGCAATCCGGAGGTCCGCGCGGATCTCTCGGATCGGCGCTGGGGCCCCCCCCGCGGCGCCTCCAGCGCCGCCCCTGGCGCGCTCCGCGCGCCAGGGAGGGGGGGTCCAGCGCCGATCCGAGAAATCCGCGCGGACCTCCGAGTTTTTATGCTTATGCCACTTGTTGTTCCCCTAATGCATTGACATGCACGTTCCCCTGCTCGCAAAGTAACTGCTAGCACATGGCCTGGATCCACCACGGGGGATCTTCGATGCATCACGTCGAGGCGAAAATGTGTTTCTCGGACCTTTGCGAGGAGGAACTCTGCGAGCAGTGGGGCGCGCTCGGTGAATGCAGGTGCGAGGAGGGATGGCCCCTCCTCGCGCCTGCATACCGGGCGCACTCCTGCCAAGAGGCAGGGCGCAGGGCTGTGCATCCGGCGCGAGGGCCGCCGCAGTGCCTTTGCCCCCATGCCGCTGCCCCCCGCAAGGAGGAGGAGAAGCACACACAGACTGTTCTGCGCAAACTTTCTCGATGCCGTTGTGGGCGTCTCTACCCCGAGGATCAGCACTGGCACGGTCCTGCCCGATGGAACGACACAAGCCTCTTTGGCGAGAGGGCTCGGCCAGATAGGCAACGCGACGACTTCGGCGGAGCGCGGGTGAGCAGGGGCGCTGCTGACGGGGCATATGCTCTCCCCCTCCTCCTTCCTTCCGCCCCACCGCTTCACCCCCGTTCAGCACTACGCACTGGCAGTCTGGGTGCGCTGGCGCGCTCCCTGCCCAAGAACACTGCTCGCGGCCATGCACGACTCTTCGCGCGGACCCCTCGCCTCCCCGTCCCGCTCCGCATCCCTGGAGCGGCGCGGCGGTCTGTGGACTCGCGCCAACTCGAGGGCCATGGCCACAGGAGCATCGCGGAAAAAAATGCAGAGCAACGGCAGCAGCATGAAGGCACCACCTTTCTCTTGATCCAGTTTCGCGAAGTGCGGCCCTTTCACACGCAGAGCTCTCCCTCTGCCTTGAAGCCGCCCAGAGTACGGACCGCGCACAACGTACAGAGCATCGAGGGGGAAGTACGTCGAGTGCCCCTCAATGTTCCCTCCGTTGGCTTCGGCCGAAGTCCGGATCCTGTCGGCCGCGTGCCAGGCGAGGTAAGATGCGCCAGCGCTTGGGCACCTTCGTCCATAGCAACGGCCTCAGCTTAGAATGAGGACATCAACTCCTGTAGGAATGTGCCAGACATGGCGATAGGGAAACGGATAGCACGAGCGCCGCCCTTCCGCATGCCTCATCCCTCCTCGGTGTACGCTGACGCGAATCGAGCCTGAAGCGGCAACTAGGCGCCACCCAGATGCAACGATCCTCATTCGCTAGTCTGCCTCCCGCGCAACTGCATTTACAGACGCGCAACACAGATCGGAAATATCTCAACTGTTCGCGAGCGCTCGTGCTTGACAACCACTAAGATCTACACTTGCAATCAACTGGATGTTGAAATATTACGCCACCGGAGAGCAGCATGTCCGTGAAAGCGCAGGGGAGAATGAGAAAAGGAACCGTGAATCAATCGAGATTCTTCCCGCTCAACTCCCGCGCGAGCGTGGCGGAGGTTGTAAACGACAGCGCATCTGAATAAGAGGCTGTCGAGTACACCACGTGGCACGAGCCATGGATCCTCGGATTTCCAAGTGAAGCCCAGAAACCTGAAAGACCCGCAGATTCCTGCAAGCCAAATAATGATGCCCATCATCAGGGTTGCATAGCAAAGATTGATGGGTCGAGGTCATGCTGAACCAGGATTCGCCGCCACGTTTCAAGAGTCTGAACATCTTCACTAATTCTCCACATGAAACATCATTGTTCTACTGATACTGACCTGGTCCTTTACCGTACCAGCATTACTGCTCTTAGTACTTGTGATCATGTTTGCTTGGGCATTACTCTGTTCTCCATACTCGAAATACTACTCTTACAGCTGCTACCAATTACCGTGCCCTTGCATTCCCCCTGCGTTCAATTCTCCCTTGCTATTACTTTTGCGTACCGCATGATGACCGCGAACCAACAAGAGAACCGCGAACCGGCTCTGGAACCGAAACGGCAGCACAAAACCCGCTGGCCGAACCGGACTGGCCGATTCAGACCAGCCCGCTATGCGAACCGCACTGGCCGAACCGAACCGGCCGAACCAGACAGGCCGAACCGGACCAGCCTGCTGCGCGAACGGAACCAGCCGAACCGAACCAGCCGAATCGAAACAACCAAACCTGACCGTCGCGGGCACCACCGCGGGCACCGGGCTGGTCGCAGGGGGTCGCCGCGGGGCGGCGGCGGCGGCAGTGACGTCGACGTCGACGTCGACGTCGACGTCGACGTCGTCGTGGACGACGCCGACGCCGACGCCGACGCCGACGCCGACGCCGACGCCGACGCCGACGCCGACGCCGGTGGCGACGCCGACGCCGACGCCGACGACGCCAGCGGCGTCCCTCAATAGCCCCCCTTCGTGGCACCTTCTCGGTGACTCTGTCGATGGCCCCCCTCGGTGGCCCTCCCCTCGGTGGCCCCCCTCGGTGGCCCCCCCTCGGTGGCCCCCCCTCGGTGCCCCCTCCGTGCCCCCCCCTCGGTGACCTCCTCTGTGGTCCCCCCCCGTGGCCTGCCACGGTGGCTCCTCTCGGTGGCTCCCTCGGTGGCCCCCCTCGGGGGCCCCCCCCGGTGGCCCCCCTCGGTGGCCCCCCTCCGTGCCCCCCCCCTCGGTGCCCCCCCCGTCGGTGCCCCCTCTGTGGTCCCCCCTCGGTGACCCTCTCTCCGTGGCCGCTCCCCTCGGTGGCCCCCCTCGGTGGCTCCCGTTCGTGCTCCCTTCGTGGTCCCCTCTCGGTGCCCCCCCTTGGTAATCACCCTCGATGGCCCCCCTCTCGGTGGCCCTCCTCGGTGCCCCTGCTCTGTGCTCCCTCCCCCCTCGGTGCCCCATCCCATCCCATGCAAGCGAGAACCTCCGACTGGTTCAGATCGGCTATGTTTGGGGGTAAATGGTGTACTCTATTGTTCAGATATGGCATATCTGAACCCTGGGCCCCGCGGGCCCCCGAACTTTAGCCCTCGAGCCGCGACGATGCGGAGGGCGAGGTCGCGAGGGGGAAGTGGGCGGAGCGGGGGAGGGATAGTCGCCTTAGGGCATTATTGGGCGGGTGCTGTTGCAGCGCACCGATGGGGTGGTATGAGTTGCTGGGCTTGCCCATGCCTTCCTGCGCGTTGTTAGTATACAGTGCTATGATGTGCGATGCTTGGCTATGTTTGTACTGTGGCGATGCTATGATATGATGATTCGGTGGTATGCAGATGTGGCATGCTACGATATGGTTGCTCTGTTACGCTATGGACTGATGTTGGTCCTACGGTTGCTATGCTATGGTGGTGTTCTGATTTGATATGCACCACTATGAAACGATTGTTCATGTGATGGCATGATGGTATGATGACACGATGGTGCTATGTTACGGTTTGTCACGATGATGGTCTGATGTGGCATGTTGCTACGTGTTGCTTTGCTATGTTATGATGCTGCTATGTCAGGCCAACATACACACGACCGACAATCGTGCCGACAACCGCGATGATCTAAATCCTCGGCCAGCCTCGGGAGCCCCCCTTCGTGGACCCTCTCTCGGTGGGCCCCCCATCGGTGGCCTCCCTTCGGTGGCCCCCCTCCGTGGCCCCTTCTCGGTGGCCCTGCTCTGTTGGCAGCCCCATTCGATGGCCCCCTCTCGGTGCCCCCCGCCCCTTGGTGGCACCCTCCGTGGACACCTCGGCGGCCCCGGGGGCGGCGCGGGGCGACGACGGCGGCAGCAACATCGACGACGACGACGACGACGACGACGACGACGACGACGACGACGACGACGACGACGTCAGTCGGCAACAGGACGTCAAATCGGATCCGTCGATTCGTCGGGGGGAACAGGCCGAACCGGCCGAACCGAACCAGCCGAACCGAACCGGTCGAAAACGGGAGAACCGAACCAACAGGTCCAAACCGGTCGAACCGAACCGGCCGAACTGGACCAGTCTGCGGCGCGATCCGAACCAGCCGAACCAAATCAATCTCGGACGCGAACCGAACTGGCCGAGCCGGACTGGGCGCGCCCCGAAGCGAACCGAACCGCGGCTTTTCGTGGTGCCATGGTGATATGAACCATGTTCAGTACTCCTACTACTACTACTACTACCACTACTACTACTACTACTACTACTACTACTACTACTGCTACTACTACTAAAACTACTACAACAACAACAACAACAACTACTACTACTACTACTACTACTACTATGACCAATTACTGCCCGTACTGCTCATGCGCGATTGCTAGTAAGGCATGCGCGCGAGATGGCGATCGCTGGCATTGCCGTCACTGGTGACATCGATACTGGGGGCGTTCTCTGTCCCATTCTGACATCTACTCTCGCGGTTGCAACCGCTCCCGACCGAGCTCTTGGGGAAACCACAAAGTACCGATACCGCTACCCCCCGGACCTCTCCCAGGGTGCGTTCTGACCAGAACTTCGAACCCCGGAGGCCCAATAATAAAGGGAAAACGGCCGAAGGCTAGCGGTATGGGTACCTGTTCCTCCTCTGAGCTCTCATGTCCTTTCCAACTCGCACTATCGCTTGAGGAAGGAGCGACTAAGCATGAACGTTCGGAGGGCAGCGCGGAGTGCTTGCGCCCGCGCTGGGCCCCTTGCCCGGGCGCGCGAAGCGCGCCGGGGGGTCGGCGCCAGAAGTCCCGCCAGGTGGGGCAGATCGCCGGCCTGCGCAATCCACAACGGAACTCCGAGAGATGATCCTTTAGGTTTTGTCTTTTCTCCTCGGATCGTACTCCGGGGAGGAAGAAGAAGAAGGAGAAGTGGTGCGGGAAGGCACGCCGGGAGCGCCATCCTGCTCTGGCAGCGCCAGGTTTACGGCCTCGTGGTCGCCGTTGTTGGCGAGCACCACCTCGAACATGACAGGGTCCCTCTGGTTGAATTTCGCCTGGGCCAACCGGCATCCGTATCAACAGACCTGTCTCCACTACGAGGCGGCCAGGGCTTCTTAGTGCCACCAGCCTCTCCGACAACGAGGCCAGGATTCTCCCGGTGGAGCTGCTGGCCGCGTCCAGAATGCGGCGTCGCGACAAGGCCTCGCCATGGATGCCCCCCAGTCGCGCCAGGGGTTCGCCCGAGATGCCCCACCGATACCGGTTTGCGTCGCCAAAGGGGGTCATAGGACGCAAAAAACCCACCCCCATAATAACCACCCCGACAAGCACCAAGGAAGGAATCGAACAGGGCAGGGCTGTTTAGTAAACGCTCAGGGCCGTTTAGTAAACGCCAATTGTCGGAGTCTGGGTGGTTTTCCCTCCTTTGGCACCAGCCCGCTGGGCCCGAACCAACCACTCCGCGCCAGACCAGGTCAGCCCCGTGACGCACGGAGGATGTGAGAGGGCAGACGGCGGAGCGCACCGCTCGTGGAGATGGTTGCCCAGCTCTCCTGTGTTGGGTTACCGTTTTCGAATACCACTGTCGCTCCCAAGCCCGCCCCGACCAGTCTCCAGGTCTCCTGCTTGCCTCATCGCGTCCCGTGTCTCCTGCGTCCCTCATCGCTTCAGTTGTGGATTCCTCACCCCAGTGGGTGCTGTTCAGCGCGGGACTGCCGCCACTTAGCTGCGCCCATGGGGGGTCTAGCGGAATGCGGCCTTGCGCAGACCCAAACGATACCTCGCCCCTCCCCCCCTTGGGTGCTGCCAGGCATACAACTGTCGACATTGATCTGCGCCCCTGAGGAGTCTAGCAAAGCGCTGTCTTACGCAATCCAAATGCGCCTGGCTGGCGATCCACCGATCGAGAAAGACGATGACAATATCTTCCCGTCAACGTGTACGTCCTACGTAAGATGCCGCGAAACAGCAAGTCACTGCATTACACATGATATCGCCTGCGCTTTGTGCTGCGAGTATCTCTGCCTGGTCGTATGCCCGAGGCGGCGGTACAAGCGCAGGGCGAAGAAAAAGGAGTGAAAGAAATCCAGACCTCCGACCTGGCCCACCGTCAGGGGACGTCAACCATCCACCTCACCGAGCAAGACCAGGCTGATCATGGGCTCGGGACCGGTGCGTACACCCTTATGGCTCGACCAGCGAAGCACGTGCACCCGTCCTGGGCCCAGGGCTCGCCCAGCCTGGATCGGTGAGGTGGACATCGCTGAAGCCCTTCGCCACTGAAGAAGTGCGCGCCAGGAGCTCTCGAGGCCAGCGGCGTCCGGAGGGGCGAGAGACGGGAGTCGCGATGGGCCCCGCAAACGGGGACTTCGCTAAGCCAGGACATTGGCGCACCCAAGGAAACTAAGCATCCATGGGCCGACGCGTTCCCCACGTTTTTTCGTTGCCTCCAGCTGGATCTGGCGAGAAGTCTTGGCCTGCGCACGAAGTCCTGGCTTCAGGGACCGAGGCTGGCGCGAGAAGGGGGAGAACAGCGGGGGGGGGAAGGGGGGGGGGAGAACAATCGAGCTGGGATCCGCGCTGCATCGCCGAAAGATCGGCGATATGCCCCCGATAGCAAGACCGCACGTCCGTGGGCAAGGCGCGCTATCGCTGCCGCAGCGCTTGCTCTGCACCCGGAAGACGTCGCGCCGCGGCCGAGGCCGCGTCGGCCGAGCGCCCGACGGCTCTCCACCGTGGCCACACGCCCTCGACATGCCCAGTGCCTCTAGCAGGTGCCCTTCACGGGGCTCCACCTCCTCCCTCCTCCTCTTCCTCCTCCTCCTCCTCCTCCTCCTCCTCCCTCCTCCTCCTCCTCCTCCTCCACCTCCTCCTCCTCCTCCTCCTCCTCCTCCTCCTCCTCTTCCTCCTCCCTCCTCCTCCTCCTCCTCCTCCTCCTCCTCCTCCTCCTCCACAGAGCCCCCGGAACCGTCTCTCGCCGTGTGCGGGGCTGGGGCTCGTCCATTGGCACTGCCTCGGGAGTCGATCTTCGCTGACCCCGGTGGGCGGTGAGTAACAGTGCACGAGTCACAGGTCTGTGCGAGAGTCGCCGTGATTAGTCATGCCCTCTTGCCCCTTTCTCATCGCCTCACGTCCCGCCGAGAACTCGTGCTGGGGACGCTCAGGTCTTCTGCTCAAGATCCGGTGGGCTCCTGAATGAGAGTTGCCGCTTGTGTTCACTGATTCATTATTAGTGTTTTCTTCGTATTATCATTCTTCTTATTAGCATCATTATTAGCTCTACTCTGATTAGTATCAACACACTATGTATATAGCGAATAGCAATATGAGCACCACCATTATTATGATTACCATTAGTGGTCGTCTTCCTCCAACCCTTCCTCCTCCCCGTGTCCTTGTCAGCTGGCGCATAGTTTGACCCAACTCGGCTTGCAGACGGCGTATGGCTTGTGCGTGAGCGAGAGGGCCCGTGTGGGTATGTATACACATATATATATATATATACAAGACTGCATTGGCGCTTCGCGCCATGCACCTTGATTCTTAAAGCTCGGCATGCAGGAGAACCAAATATAGCGATGATTCATTGTTGCCGTTTGCGCCATCGTCGTTATAGTAATGTTATGTACTATCCTTATACTTCCTCTCCTCTTACTCGTAATCGTCCTTGTCTGCGAGCCACTCCTTGTCCTCATCCCCAGCTTTTTATTGCAGGGGCTCCTCTTTGGAGGTGTTCTTGGGACCCTCTCAAAAGCTTTTTGGAGACCTCTGGGGGCCTCCTGGGCGCCTTTTGGAGGCCTCTGGGGGCTTCTTGCGGCCACCTTGCTACCAACCACGGTCTCCCTGAACGACCGGGTCACGATTTGGAGTGCTTCGGGAGGCGTCTTGGGGCCATATGGGGCTGTCAGCAGGGCTCTCTTGGGGCCATCTTGCGGCCCTGTTGGACCATATTGGGGCTCTTTTGGACTGTCTGGAAGCCCTTTGACACCGCTGTGGGAGGATTTTGGGGGCCTCTTCGGCGGACTCGGACGCACGGAATACCGAAGAACCGAATGTCCAAAAATACAACACAAAAGAAAAAGAAAGTGTTGTTTTTTTGCACTTGGAGGACCTCTTGGGGGTCTTCTTTGGGTCGTCTTCGGGCGTCTTTGACGTCTCGGGCGTCTTTGGGCTGTCTGGGGCCGCGTGGGGCTTCCCGCTGGGGGCCCGTTGGGGGACGCCCTCCTGACCCGCTTAGATTGGGCCCCGCTGCAAGGCCCGCAGGCGTCCGAGGCCCGGAAGGCCCGGGGGACCCCTACAAAAGAAAAAAGCAAAAAAAAAAAAAAAAAAAAAAAACACCACAAAAAAGATAAAATTAAAAAAAGCAAAAAACAATACACAAAACCCAAACACTCCACCCCCCCCCCCCCCTCCCCGCCCCCCCCCCCCCCCCCCACACCCCCCCGCCCCACCCCCCCCCCCCCCCAGCCCCCCCCACCCCCCCCGCCCCCCGACCACCCTCACCCCCCCCCCCCCACTCCCCCCCACCCCTCCCCACCCCCACACAGGCGACCCCGGGCCCCACCCTCTCCCCCCCCGGGGTGTCCCGAATTTCCGCGAGGGGGGTTTGGGGTCCCACCCCCCCAGATTGTAAAAATGTAGAAAAGGGAATGTATAGATCCACACCGCCTGCCGAGGTCCCCGAAGAGCGCTTCCCCTGGCAGCGGTATGAATATACCCCAACCTCGAACGTATGGACCTTCATGAGCGGATCGATGCGTCCTGGCGGAATCAGAGCCACAAGACGGGTCTTGGCAAACCCACACCAAAACAAACGAAACGAAAAACTGACCGACGATTTGGACTATCTCGTGACGTCGGATGCCAGGGTCCGCTGCCAGACCACGCTGGTTCGCCTTATCAATCAGCGGACTCCACTCGACGTGGAACACCAGGTTGCCCTCGAAGCTGAAGGACTGCAGGTGACCGAAGCCCCTCTCGACAACCTGCGGGCCGACTCGCTCCAGCCCATCGGGTCCACTCCGAGCCTTCGTTTCGGCTTCCAGCTGCCTTCCAACTTCTCCTTGCTTTGCTCCTCCCGTAAGGAGGGCACTCCACCCGTCGATTACTAGGGGCCGTCGATCTCAGAGAGCGGGGAGTTGACTTCGAGAGCGATGAAGAGATCGGAGTGATGAGCAGGGTAATTGACTGGCACAGAGTGAGAGGGAGAGCGAGAGAGCAAACCAATAACATGAACACCAGGAGGAGAGGGAGAAAGACCACAGGCGCCTTGAGAAAACAATGGCCGCTCAAGGGAGGGAAGGAAAAGCACGGGATCTGCGCTCCCGAGGCCACGATCCTTTATTTCAAAACGACGGGTCCGCGGCCCGAACCGGCCAGCCACCCAGTCAGCCTTCCAACCAGTCAGTAAGCCTGCAAACCAGAGATTCGGCCAACCAAGAAGCCTTCCAACCTGCCAACCCAACCATCCATCCAGTCAGCGAACCAGGGGGGGGGAGGGGCTACAGCAGGGGGCGAGTTCCATCTAGATACGTTGTTGCAGGGTGTTTGAGGTCTTGAGGATATCCTCCTCCTCATCCTCCTCCTCATCATCGTCAGCATCGTCATTATCAGAATCAGCATCATCATCAGCATCACCATCAGCATTAGCAGCAGCATCAGTATTATCATCAGCCGCATCATGATCAGAATCAGCAACATCAGCATCTTCATCTTCGTATTTATATTCATGTTCAGCATCATCGTCATCATCGTCAACATCATCATCATCATCATCATCATCATCATCATCATCATCATCATCATCATCATCATCATCATCATCATCATCATCATCAGCAGCAGCAGCAGCAGCATCATCATCCCTCCTCCTCCCTCCTCCTCCTCCTCCTCCTCCTCCTCCTCCTCCTCCTCCTCCTCCATCCCCCGCCCTTCCTCTTCCCTCCTCCCTCCTCACCCCTCCCTCCTCCCTCCCTCCACCCTCCTCATCCTCCTCCTCCTCCTCCTCCGTCCTCCTCCTCCTCCTCCTCCTCCTCCTCCTCCTCCTCCTCCTCCTCCTTTCTCCTCCTCGCAAGATCCGGCCCTGGGGCTTCCCCCCAAATCAGCCCCGGAACCGTCAAATAACCATAATTGTTTGACTGCCTGGGGGACCAGGAAGGGCCCTGGGAAGCCGAAGGCGGCGACAAGACTTAGGACCCCTTCTCCTCGGGACTGCTTCGACTTCAGGGCGAGCTCTTGCTGCTGTCGCCCGCGCCTCCTGCGCTTCATGAGGAGATCTGCCCTGCTGCAGCATCGTTGATGCATGCTGGGTGTACTCTAGCCGCTCCTCCTGATCCCTATCGTCATCCTCCGTTCCCCCTTCTTCTCCTGGGGCCCCCTCGGAAGCCCAGGGCAGACCCCTGGAGGTCCCAGGAAGCACCCGCGGCCTCCAGAGGCCTCTGAAGATCAAAGCTCCACCCACAAAAACAAATTGGGTCGGGCACGCGCTCACATGAATCAGGGATCCGTGGGTCTGGCAAGCGAGCGCCAGATCCACAGATCGGGAAAGAGACCTCCGAAAAGCGCACCCAGTGCCGCCTCATTTGTCGACGGACCGCGTCGATGTCGCACGGAAACAGAACACACCGCTAATCCGCGCGCCATAAACCATCAATGTGTTCGTTCCCTCGAGGGGGAAGGGGGGGGGGAACACGATCCTCAACGTTCCCGTGGGCGTATCTCCGATCCGGGCGACGCGCCCGACTTTTGCACCGCGAGCCCGCCCTCTCGCAGGACGCGCGGGCGCGCGGGCGCAGGGCGCGCTCCCCACGGGGCCGGCGCAGGCGCCTTGTCTGGCGTTGTGACGAACCAGCCTCGGGTGGAGCGCGCCCGCTCTCCTCTGTTTCTCCTCCTCAGCAACAGCAGTAAACAGCTGCATAGACAACAAACAGCGTCATCCGCACCATCATCGTCATCGTCATCGTCGTCATCATCATCATCATCATCATCATCATCATCATCATCATCATCATCATCATCATCATCATCATCATCATCGTCGTCATCATCATCATCATCATCATCATCATCATCATCATCATCATCATCATCATCATCATTATCATCACCATCATTATCCGCAGCAGCATCATCACCATCATCATCAGCATCAGCATCAGCATCAGCATCACCATCATCATGAGCATCAGCATCAGCATCATCGTCATCATCAGCATCACAATCATCATCAGCATCAGCCGCAGCAGCATCATCATAATCATCATAATCATCACCATCATCATCCTCATGCTCATCCTCCTCCTCCTCATCCTCATCATCAGCAACAGCATCATCATCATCAGCATCATCATCAGTAGCAGCAGCATCATCGTCATCATCAGCAGCATCATCATCAGCAGCATCATCACCATCAGCATCGTCACCGTCGTCGTCATCGTCATTGCCGTCATCATCATCATCATCATCACCACCATCATCATCATCATCAACATCATCAACATCATCATCATCATCATCATCATCATCGTCATCATCATCATCATCATCATCATCATCATCATCATCATCATCATCATCATCATCATCATAACATCATCATAAGCATCATCAGCATCGTCGTCGCAATCATCCTCATCATCAACCTCGTCCTCCCCCTCCCCATCCTCCTCCTCCTCCTCGTCATCACCATCATCATCAACATCGTCACCATCGTCGTTATCGTCATCGCCATCATCAGCAACATCATCATCACCACCACCACCATCATCATCATCATCATCATCAACCACCACCACCACCACCACCACCACCACCACCACACCACCATCATCATCATCATCATCATCATCATCATCATCATCATCATCATCATCATCATCATCATCATCTCACCATCATCAACTCATTGAAAAAATATCCTTGCGAAGGTTCCAACTATATGCAGTTGTGGGTACCGTAATTGTGAATATCTGCTTCGGTGAAGCTCCCTATGGGGCCACGAAGCGCTGCACTGGGCGGGGGGGAACGCTGTACTGTGTGGGTGGTGTGCCGAGTTGGGTTTCCGGGACGCATGCGGACGGTCCCACTGAGGGCTTCGGTGGAGCTCAAAATGGGGCCACGAA